ATTTCTAGGGTGAATTAAATCGTAGTTTCCAAAATTCAGTCCATTTGGGTTGATATTATTCATTTGGCGCACAATAAACCAGATATTGGATAAGGATATATATGGGAGCTATATCCAAATCTGAACCGATCTTGATAAAATTTGACAGTGGTAATTCTGGGCTTAATCTGATGTGCGGTACCAAATATCATATCTGGAGTGCATATTACACGCTTGAGGGACTCTAATCCTCAAATCGGATGAAACGTATATATGGTAGCTATGGCTGTATCTGAACCGATTTTCTCCAAATTTGATGTACTTGCTTCTAGACTGAATTCGTTTGGATGTACCAACATTCAGGACTTTTGGACTGATATTGGTTATTTGGTGCACAGTTAACACGAAATCGGTGGAGGATATATAGGGGAGCTATATCCAAATCTGAACTGATCTTTACAAAATTTAATACACTTATTTCAGAGCTGTATCTTATATCTGGTACTACTGGATCATTGTTGTGTAATGCATATTACGCTTGTGACGGACTTTAAACCCCAAATTGGATAAAACATGTATATGGGAGCTATAGCTATATCTGCGCCAATTGATACCAAATTTGAAGTACTGGTTTATAGGATAAATTCAGTCGTATTTGTTAAAATTCTGTTCATTTGGGCTGATATTAATCATTTGGTGTACAATAAACCTGATAAAGGATACAAATATATATGGGAGTTATATCCTAATCTGAACAGTATCTGATGCCACGTACCAAATATCATTCTTCTGGAGTGCATATTACACGTTTGAGGGACTCTAAACCTCAAATCGGATGAAACACATATATGGTAGCTTTAGCTGTATCTGAACCGATTTTGATTTACTTGCTTCTAGACTGAATTCGGTGGGATATACCAAAATACAAGTCATTTGGAATTATATTAACCATTTGGTGGATAATTAACCCGAAATCGGTTGAAGATATATGGAAGCTATATTTACAACTAATCCGATTATCAGCAATGTCAATAGGGTTTGTCCTTGGGCAAAATTTCAACTCCAGCGAATAATAAATGCGACCTGCATTTTGTTCACAAGAATATTTGGACGGACGAACGGTCTGACATGCATAAATCGACTCAGAAAGTGATTCTATGGAGATCCTCAAAAGTAACTATGGGCCTTACTCGCTTCCTCCTCCATGCTACAAAAAAATGCACAAAGACATAATACCCTTACCACTTTATTGTGTAGGGTATAAAAATTCAAAATTTTATTGTATTTGCAGAGGCTGATCTGTGCGGCTTCGTTATTATGCTCAAGTTCAGTTCAATCATCTTTTCGCAACGCTTGATACTGAAATTCAAGTTCAAGTTTACGCACATGGGCTACGCATTGTATTCCTCGTCATTCCACGCTGGCACGCTCTCAATGGAAAAATAGAGTTCAATGTCCACAGCATCTGTTGCTGTCGCCATCAGTGTTAACGGTTTGCATTGACGTAAACTGGTTGGTCACAAGCCAAACAGCACGCACACAAGTTGACTAAATCGTTTTACGCAAGGCGCGTAAATAGGCTCGCACTCAACGTCACTGCAAGCGGAAGTTCTTGAAATATTTGACAGAGTTTTGGGGTGTTGCCCATAGTTGCTACACACTGCAGGCATGGGCATTTCATTGGCAGTGGTTTGGCGCGTGTTTTCCGCAAATGTTGCCCTAGTTTCGAATGCTTTTTCGAGTGTTTGCTGCAATGTTGTTGTTTTGGGTTAATTCGTGTTAATGCTCGAAATTGATACAGCCGCGACGTTGTTATTCTGTAATTTGTATTTCAAGTTGAATGCACTCCTCCTCGGACAGAATTGGGGTATAGATTTGTATCACTTTAGATTTTTGGCTTGCGTGCAGTAAAGTTGTTTTCAAGTTGTTTAGTTGAATATTAAACGTTTTGTTTGCTGTGAGGTTTTTTTGTCTTTGTTGTTGGCATATTCGAAATTTTGCCACGAGACTTGTTTGTCTGCCAACAAACTGATGATATTGACGAAGACGCTGTCGTTGGCATGGGTGTTCTCACAATACCCCTGTTGCCGTTGTTGTTGGTAATGGGCGTTTTAAAAAAATGCACATAGTTTGGTGTAGATTAAAAGTTTGAAATAGTTTTGGCGTTAATTAAATCGAATGGCATTCATTATCATGAAAACTATTAATTTGCCACTTTTAGTGAATTTCAATTGAATGCACATTTCAATGCAAACAAACAATCGCGCATTGCAAAGACCTTGAATCAGTTCAAATATTCATAGAATTATTACGAAATTATCGACATTTGAGTAATTGAGTTATTATCGAATGTGGAATGGCCCAATTGATCTCGTTTCTATTTATGTGCTGTGCAATTACAACATTGGAATTTCAAATCATTTGGATGGTGGTAATGGTATATTATTTTGAAAGAAATATTTTTACCCCACAACACTATGGGTTGGGGGTATTGTAAGTTTGATTGGGCCAAAAATTATGTAACACCTCGGAATATTGATACCCCCGATATTCGGTATTTTGATGATTTTAGCGACCTTATTTACCGGAATTGTTTCAAATTTGGTACTCGTAGTTCGTAATGGATACTACAGTCTAAGACAGAAAATGAACCATGTAGGTCCACGTCTTCGTATAGCCCCCATATATCAGTACCTACCTATATTCGGTATTTTTACGGCTATAGGTACAATACTCACCTAAATTGTTTGAGATGTCGTATTTGAAGTTCGTAATGAATGCTACAGCCTGTGACAGAAAATTGTCTATGCAGGTCAAGGTCTTCGTATAGCTCCGATATAACGATACCTCCCAATATTCGGTACTTTGATGATTTTAGCGTCATTATTTACCGGAGTAGTTTAAAATTACGTATTTAGAGTTCGTAATGGGAACTACAGTCTGTGACAGAAAATTGTATATGCAGGTCCTGGTCTTCGTATAGGCCCCATACATCAGTACCTCCCTATATTCGGTATTTTGACGATTTTAGGTACAATACCCACCGAAATGGTTTGAGATGTCGTATTTGAAGTTCGTAATGGATGCTACAGTCTGTGACAGAAAATTGTCTATGCTGATCCAGGTCTTCGCACAGCTCCAACATAACGGTACCTCCCAATATTCGGTACTTTGATGATTTTAGTGTCATTATTCACCGGAGTAGTTTAAAATTACGTATATAGAGTTCGTAATGGGAACTACAGTCTGTGACAGAAAATTGTATATGCAGGTCCTGGTCTTCGTATAGGCCCCATACATCAGTACCTCCCTATATTCGGTATTTTGACGATTTTAGGTACAATACCCACCGAAATGGTTTGAGATGTCGTATTTGAAGTTCGTAATGGATGCTACAGTCTGTGACAGAAAATTGTCTATGCTGATCCAGGTCTTCGCACAGCTCCAACATAACGGTACCTCCCAATATTCGGTACTTTGATGATTTTAGCGTCATTATTTACCGGAGTAGTTTAAAATTACGTATTTAGAGTTCGTAATGGGAACTACAGTCTGTGACAGAAAATTGTATATGCAGGTCCTGGTCTTCGTATAGGCCCCATACATCAGTACCTCCCTATATTCGGTATTTTGACGATTTTAGGTACAATACCCACCGAAATGGTTTGAGATGTCGTATTTGAAGTTCGTAATGGATGCTACAGTCTGTGACAGAAAATTGCCTATGCTGATCCAGGTCTTCGCACAGCTCCAACATAACGGTACCTCCCTATATACCGTATTTTGATGATTCTAGCTACATTATTCACCGTTTATTTCAAGTTTCGAATTTGAATATGGTAATGGCTTATGACAAACAAAGCCTATGTAGGTCTACCTCGTATAGACCCCAATATAGAGGCTATATTCGATAGTTTTAAGATTTTAACAGAATTTTTAACGGATTTTATTTTTTTAAAATTTCCGAATTAGTTCCATATGGTGGAGGGTATTCAAAGTTCGGCCCGGCCGAACTTACTGCTTTTTAACTTGTTTATGAAATAATTTAAGAAGAATTTGTAACAAAACACTTCATTAAGTGCAAAATGGGATTTTTTGGCCTCAACCATGGGAAAACGTACTAATGTCAACATTTATTCATAGACCGTATATCCTGCATTGTAAAGATATTTATTTGATTTTTAGTTAATTTAAGTAATTAATTTTTCACAAATTTTATTGAATAATGTAAATGACAATTGCATGTACATATGCTCAGAAATAAAAATTTGCTGAAATAAAAGAACTAAGAAGAGAATGGTTAGTGGAATACTTGCTGCTTTGATGTTGTTCGTTCTGATGTCAAAATAGAAGAAGAAATATGAAATCAATGCAAAATGATTGAACCTAAATAATGTAACACTCAAATTATCATTGAGTTAAAAGTATGGTTCGCTTAGCACACGATACCAGTTTTATGACACTCGTTTCAGTGAGTATGAGAGCGGCAGCAACAACAATCATTACACTTAGTAAAACAGCATAGGTAAAAACAGAATGATGAAACAAGTTCCACTGACCATTCTCGTCGTTCTCTTACCCTGCTGATAAATAGTTTATGTACAGTAAGCAAGTTAATTTAATGAGTTAAATGCTAATTCTAATTACTTATTAATAATTAATTTTGAGCATTCTTAATATTAAAATAATAATGAAATATTGATTTTTACAACATGCTCCCCCCTTATGAACGAAGTTCATACGTAAATTTGAATAAGACGGCCACACGGTGGGAGTGTTTTAGTCGAACTCGCAAGTTCCGCTATGCTCCGACTCACAGCGCTAATTCAAAGGCACCGTCTTACTCATTGAGCAAAATCTTTAGTAGGGGAACATGAATAGTGATTGTAGTAAGACATCTTTCGGGAATATGTGTTCAGAGATTGTATACAAGTTTGTTTTTATGAATAATTTTCAGCATTTCCAATGTTTTTCTGGGAATCGCATTCTGATTTTGCCATCAGTTCCTGGATGGACATCGGTTATTCGGCCAAGAAGCCATTGTCCAGGGCCGCATCTTTCATCTGCAATCAGCACAAGATCACCAATTTCAGCATTTCTGGTTCCATGCAACCATTTTGGGCGAGACTGTAGCCGATTGAGGTACTCGTTGCGCCAACGTTTCCAGAAATGTTGTTTCATTCGTTCTAATCTTTTCCATCGATCTAAATGGTTTTCATTAATGTCAAGTAGAGTTTCTTGCTGGATACAATTTGTTGGTTCACCAATTAAGAAGTGGGCTGGAGTCAGGGCTTCATGATCCGATGGATCAGATGACAAAGGGCACAAAGGTCGCGAGTTTAAACAGCTTTCAATTTGGCAAAGTAAAGTGGAAAGTTCCTCAAAACTAAGTAGCCTGTCACCAACAATACGTTTTAGATGGTACTTTACAGATTTTACACCTGCCTCCCATAGTCCTCCAAAGTTTGGTGATGCGGGAGGTATAAAGTGCCATGTAGTACCATTTGTATTTAGATTGTGGCGTAGTTCCGATGGCAAAGATTTAAGGGACCTTTTTTGAAGAACTTGTAGCTCTTTAGAAGCGCCTACGAAATTTGTTCCACAATCGGAATAAACGTCAGTACATATGCCTCTGCGGGATACAAAGCGTTTGAAAGCTGCTAGAAAGGCTGTTGTTGTGAGGTCTGTGACAGCTTCTAAGTGTAATGCCTTAGTCACCATACACACAAACAAACATATATAACCTTTGGAAGTCACAGCTGACCTTAGAGTGGAATTTTTAATCATAATTGGCCCAGCATAGTCTACACCGCTATGTTTGAATGGTCGGCTAATATGTAGTCGAACTGGGGGTAGATTTCCCATTATTTGTTGAGAGGTCTTTGCAGAATATCTAAAGCACTTCAAGCATTGTGAAATTATTGTCTTTGTTAATTGAGTTCCGGATAATATCCAATAGTGTCTATTAACGTAAGACATTGTGAGAGTAATACCGCCATGCAGAGTTCTTTCATGGGCATCTCTAATAATTAGTTTAGACAGTGGATTACCTTTTGATAAAACAATTGGATGCATTATACTGTACTCCAAATTTGAGTTTTGCAGACGGCCTCCCACTCGTATAACACCTTGTTCGTCGATAAAAGGCGTAAGTTTTAGCAATGGGCTATGTTTTAGTGGAGTATTGTTTAAAAGAAGTTTTATTTCTTGGGGAAAATCAATTGCCTGGACTTCTTTTATTAAAAAGTGCAGAGTATTAATTTTTTCTAGAGCTGTCAAACATCCTACCATTCTTGTTTTTGGATTTCTAATATTATGCACATACCGAAAACAGAGAGATATTACTCGCAATAATTTTTGAAAATTTGAATATTTGGTAAGCAATTCGTTGTAAACCTTTTTTACGAGATTATGTGTAGTCATCTTTGGTTTCCTGATTTCTTCACTTGTATTAAGGTGTGGAAGAGACTTAGGCCAAGAGGAAGGGGGCTCTTGCAAAAATTGAGGCCCAGACCACCACATCTTATAATGTAATAAATCACTCGCTGATATACCTCTGGAAGCGCAGTCAGCGGGATTTAGAGCTGATGGAACATAATTCCATTGAAGTGGACTACTAAGCCTTTGTATATCAGCTACTCTGTTAGCCACATAGACGGTCCACTGTGAAGGAGGTTTTCTAATCCAGCTTAAGACTGTTGTGCTATCGCTCCAGTAAAAAATATTGCGGATAGAATATCCTGATAATGACCTCTTTACATTTTCTGTTAGAAGCGCTAGTAATTTTGCTGCACAAAGCTCCAATCTGGGTATAGTCACCGATTTGATGGGAGAAACCTTCGATTTGGCTTGCAAAATTGAAACGACAATGCCTTTAGGAGTACTCACCCTAGAGTATACAACAGCAGCATAAGCTTCGGTAGAAGCATCACAGAAACAGTGAAGTTCAATTGGCGAATGTTGAGACCATTTTATCCATCTTGGGATCTTAACTTTGGTGAGTTCCCTCAAAGAGATCCTGTGTTTTGTCCAAGCCTTTTCTAACTCTGTTGGTAGTTTGTCATCCCAATCTAAAACATGCTCCCAGAGTTTTTTAAATATGGACTTTGAAATTAATGTGGTTGGAGTTAACCAGCCCAATGGATCATATAGCCTAGCCGACTCAGACAAGATCGATCTCTTTGAGATAGTTGGGTTCTCATCCAGTATTACATTAAAGCAAAAAGAATCACTATTAATATTCCATTGGACACCTAGCGTTTTAACCACATTGTCTTTGCTGAAGCATATAGTTGAAGAGGAATCTCGACAAGCTTCTGGAATTTTGCTTAGGAAATCTGCAGAATTCGAGTTCCATTTACGAAGATTGCAGCCACCTGACTTCAAAAGATCGCATAAATCAGTGTATAATAATTGGGCTTCATCTATCGTTTCAGCCCCAGATAAAATGTCATCGACATACGAATCTGCTACTAAAACTTTGGCTGCCTTTGGATATTCATTGTTGAAATCTTCTGCTAATTTATGTAGGACACGGATTGCTAAGTAGGGCGCACTTGTGGTGCCATAGGTGACAGTGTTAAGCTCATAAATATGCATAGGCTCTGAGGAATTCTGTCTCCACAAAATTTGTTGGAATTTGCGATGATCAGGATTAACGTCGATTTGACGGAACATTTTTTCGATATCCGCACTAAATGCAATTTTGTGGGTGCGCCATTTGGTAATAATAGACGGAAGGTCGTTTTGCAGGGCTGGACCAGGAGCTAAAATATCATTGAGGGAATTGAATTCTGGAAAGTGGCTACTGCCATCAAATACAACACGAAGTTTGGTTGTACTGCTGTCCTCTTTAAAGACTCCGTGATGGGGAAGGAAGTAGGAGTTTTGTCGTACATCGTCTGGATAGCTACCAATTTTGGTCATATGACCTAAAGTCTCATATTCATTCATGAACGTTTTATAGGCCTGGCCAAATTCAGGTCTCTTCGAAAATGATACTTCTAAATGCCGTAGTCTTCTAAGTGCATTCAGGGCGTTATTTTGCAAGTTTGGGGTTTTATTAGAGGATATTATTGATTTAAAAGGTAAACTTACTAAATAACGTCCATTTTCTTGACGCGTTGTTGAGGTTTTGAAATAATTCTCACATAATATTTCCTCTTGATTTGGAGACCTTTTTAAAGACACTTCTTCTTGTTCCCAGAATGATCTCAGTATTTTTTCTAAATTGGTATTGTGTATATGAATATTATGTGATAGCAAACTCTCACTTGTGCCTGAAAAGACCCAACCAAAGTGAGTATTCTGAAAGAAAAGTCCTTTGTGGACAAAAGATTCAGATGGAATTTTAATTTTTGCACAAACGTCCGACCCTAATATTAGATCAATTCTGTCTGTTTTATAGAAGAAAGGATCAGCAAGATCTTCTGTTTCAATATCTGGCAAAGAAATATTTTTGAATGAAATATCAGGAGTATACGATGACAAATTTGGTAGCACTAATGCCGTACATAAAAGCACAGACTGATTTTTGCGGTTAAGCAAATCAATATTAACAGAATATTTGGATATATTTCCATGACCACCACCTACGCCAATGACATTGCATTGATTTCTCATTTTTCTTAACCCTAAAAGTTGCACTGCAGCTTCAGTAATAAGACTCCCTTGCGAACCAGGATCTAACAATGCCCGTAACGAAATTGTATGGCCATTTTTAGAAACATTTAGGCGAATTGTGTACAAAAGTATAGATGGGTGCGTATTTGAACTATTAGATGATATTTGAGAATTCTGGTTTGAATCAGATTTTCCTGCATACATATGACCAGATGGTTCATTAGGATGCAAAATTGTGTGATGCATTTCCCTGCAAATTACACAACGAAAAGGTGAGTCGCAGTTATTTATGTTATGTCCAACAGTAAGGCAGTTGCGGCATATATTTTTGCTTAATATGAACTCGTTTTTCAAGTCCAAGGATAACGAAAGAAATTTATAACATTTTGGAAGAGAGTGATTACTTTTTTCACAATAGAGACAATTTCTTTGATTGGATTTTGATATCCTTCCAGTGTGACAAGATGTCTTCTTTGAAAACTTATTGGTTTTAGTAAATTTAGGTTTACCCGTTAAAGTAGGGTATTGGTCGCTTAGCGATTCCAAAGTTCGAAAAGTTCTTTCAAGAAATGAAAAAAGTTCAGAACGAGATGGCAAGTTTGAACTGGATTTGAGAGAATTTTCCCAATCTCTTCTAGTTTGTAAGTCAAGTTTTTGAATGATTAAATGGATAAGGATAGGATCCCAGCTAATTGTACTTAGTCCAAGGTTGCTTAGAGATGCGAGGCATTCTTGTGTAGAATCGAGAATGATCTTGATAGACTGAAAACCTCCATCTGACTTTGGTATGTTAAAAAGTTTAGAAATGAGATTTCCAACTAACATTCGTTTGTTATGGTATCTCGCCTCCAAAATTTGCCACGCTGAATCGTAATTTGCCTCAGTGGCTGAAAAAGTTTTTATCAAATTTGCAGCTTCCCCTGAAATACTACTTTTTAAATAAAAGAACTTTTGCACTTTGTTCAACGAATCATTGTTATGCACCAGCGATGAAAAAAGGTCTTGAAAAGGAACCCAATCGATATAATCGCCAGAAAATTTTGGTAAATTTATCTTTGGAAGGCGAGTGTCTGAAAATATTGTTTCTGAACGATTATTCGGCGCAGAAAACGTGCTAGTTAAGGGTGAATGTGTTGTTGAGTTATCTGGAAGGGAATCAATCAAATGTCCCTTAAAAGTTAAATATTTTTCAGAGAAATGGAAAAACACTTCGTCTGTTAAATATGGAACATCACTTTCAGACATTGATGATTCATGCACTAGTCTGACAATTGTTCCATGCTGGCTCTCAAATTTAGTGAAGATATCATCAAGAAGTTGTGCCAGGGAATTTAAATAACCATGAGTTTTTTCTTCTCTGGATTTTTTATTAAATCCAAGTTCATGCTTGTTAATCAAATCCAGCAGACCACGTTGTTCTTTGATTAAAATGTCAAGCGAACTCATGTTTAAGCACTTCTTAATACACAGACTTGCACCAACTATTTTATTTTACAAAATTTCGGAATTAACTTTCCCGGGTTTCGGCACCAAATTTATATGTAAAGATATTTATTTGATTTTTAGTTAATTTAAGTAATTAATTTTTCACAAATTTTATTGAATAATGTAAATGACAATTGCATGTACATATGCTCAGAAATAAAAATTTGCTGAAATAAAAGAACTAAGAAGAGAATGGTTAGTGGAATACTTGCTGCTTTGATGTTGTTCGTTCTGATGTCAAAATAGAAGAAGAAATATGAAATCAATGCAAAATGATTGAACCTAAATAATGTAACACTCAAATTATCATTGAGTTAAAAGTATGGTTCGCTTAGCACACGATACCAGTTTTATGACACTCGTTTCAGTGAGTATGAGAGCGGCAGCAACAACAATCATTACACTTAGTAAAACAGCATAGGTAAAAACAGAATGATGAAACAAGTTCCACTGACCATTCTCGTCGTTCTCTTACCCTGCTGATAAATAGTTTATGTACAGTAAGCAAGTTAATTTAATGAGTTAAATGCTAATTCTAATTACTTATTAATAATTAATTTTGAGCATTCTTAATATTAAAATAATAATGAAATATTGATTTTTACAACATGCCAATACCAAACATTCAGAACCATAAATTCAAAATCGATGTCAAAATTGTGATTAAAATTTATGACTAGTAAGTCATATCAAATAGGATTGTTATTGTATCATGGCTTTAGTCGGGTTTAAATTTGAAATCGTTTAAAACTGAAATATGGGAGCTATATTTTAATACTAGCAGGTGCTCGCTGCTTCGTCATCGAAAAGTCCATCAACATTATTTCCACGTCTGTTCATAATAAGAAGTGTCTACCACCATATCTATATCTTAGAAACCAACTGTGTCCTCAATATCAAATTTCAGGATTCAAGCTCAATCCATTCACTCAACCGTAAATTTAGTATAATTTAGTACTTTTTGAACAATCATAGTACGCATTCCCAAATGCACCTTCTTCTCTCAAAACTATTTACCAACAGCATCTTCCATATCAAATTCTAATTCTATCCTAAGACCCAATCCCATATTTATTGCCATACTTTTCGTACAGATATACTACACATGTCCAAAACCACCTTCTTTTCTTCATCCTTGACCGCAACAGTGACCTCGATACCAAATTTTAGAATGCCATCTCTATCCCATCACCCAACGGCACATTTTGTGGCATTTGCACTTTCCGTACGTCCATAGTACCCATATCCACAAGCACCTCTTTCTCTCAAATACGGACAACAACAGTTATATCCATATTAAATTTTAAGATTTAAGCTCTATTTCCTCAAACAATACCAAATTTATTACTATTTAGTATTTTACGTACAATTATTGTACACATTTCCGAAACCAACTCCATATGTCCAGAAATCCTCATGTCGGGCCCAAAAGGGAATATATATATTTGATCAGTGTATAATTCTAAGTCGATTTAGAGATATCCGACTGTTTGTCTGTTGTAATCACGCTATTGTCGGAACGCATATGTGTATTTTGCCAGTAGGAAGGTAAAAATGGGCCAGATCGGTCCACGTTTTCGTATATCCCCCACATAACTGTACAACCCTATATTCGGTATATTTATGATATTAGCGACATTATTTACCGGAAGTGTTGCAAATTTCGTATTTGAAGATTTTAATGAGTATTGCAGCCTATGACAAAAAAATCGCATACTCAGGTTTACGTTTTCGTAAAGTCCTCAAATAAGCGTATCTTCCAATTTTCGGTATTTTAATGATTGATAATGATAATGATTTTTCAAATTTCGTATTTGAAGTTCATACCCATTACGAACAGCCTATTACTGAAAATTGCCAATACAAGTCCACGTCTGAATAACCGGAATTGTTTCAAAATTCGTACTTGAAGTTTGGAATCGGTACTACAGCCTATGACAAAAAATTACTTATGAAGGACCACGTTTTCGTATAACCCCCATGTAAGGAGTTTCATTTTTTTACGTAATCGTTTTTAAAAATTTCAAGTTCCTTCAAAATGGTGGAGGGTATTAAAAGTTCGGCACGACCGAACTTAGCACCTTTTTTGCTTGTTTTTGACTTATTTGTTTTTCCTTCAGAAGCGTAAACAAAGAAATCGGTAGGTCTGCCAATGCGTGAACATGCCACGTTCAGCTTTAAAAACAAAATTTTCTGGAGGTACCCCCGATCTGATGAAATTATATAGCTTATGTTACTTTCAGGCGATGCTGTAGTATATATGGAAATTTTCAGGAAAATCTGATTAAGGTTTTTGATTCTATAAATTACAAACAAACAATCAAACGTACAAAAATATTCTTCTTGTATGGATATAGAAAATGGATTTCAGCTCCATTTCTTCACCCAATACCAAATGTAGTACCTTTTAGTATTTTTTGTACAAATATAGGACGCATTTCCAAAACACCATTAAATCTCAGACACAGATACCATTAGTAATCTAAATATCAAATATCAGAATCTAAAACTATAGCACACATTGCCGAAACCACCTCCATATATCTAGGATACATATGAACTGCGACCCTAATACCAATTTCAGATTTCAAGCACTATCTGGTCACCCAATATCAAATTGTAGCAAATGCAGTACTATTTAGTACTATTTTTACAATTATAGTACACACTTCCGAAACCACCTCTTTATCACCACCCACAAGGATCACAAAACACACTTAGTACACTCTTCCAAAACCAACTTTATATATCAAACTTGCTTCCCAACCTTGATTTTCATACAAAATTTCAAATTTTTAACTTCATCCGTTCACATAATACCGAATGGTACCATTTAGTTTAGTTAG